TTTTACTTTTACCAAATGTTTACTAAATAAGCTTTTAAAAACTATTTCTATTCTGTGTAATTATCAGAAAATAAAGTCAGTAGATACCTAATGTAGTGTTTATGCCAACCAACAAATGCACAAATAGTTCAAAATTATCTTCAGCATACTTTTGGAAATCTTGTTATAAGAACACATGGATCCGCTTTGTTATCTAGATTTATCTCTGATGGGTTTTTTTTATGGGAATATCTGAAAGTTCTTATGTATCAAACACCAATTATAATAATGTTTAATATCTTCGCGAAAAGATAATTGAAGATTGTGCAAATTTAGATCTAAATAGCATATTAGCTGCTACGCACAGTTATGTGTCCAATTAATTTGTAAAAAAGAGTACAATTTTATATTGTAAAAGAAGGCAAGAAAGAGGCAACATTATGCGAGTTAGTTAAAATTAACTAAACGCTTATCGCTAAAATTATTTAAACGCTTATCGCTACTTATCTAACTAAATGTTTTATCTATTGTGCAAGTCATTTTCTGCTATACTAGCCAGCTAGGGAGTTAGTAAGTTTAGAAGCCTTCTTGTTGAAGTAATAATTTTCCTATGCGACAGGTAAAAGCAGAATATTAATATTTTATCCTTCTTTTTTAATTAAAAATAAACTTTAATGGATATTTAACTTTTATTGTAATTGCGTGTATGTGCTCAATGACTGTTAGAAACGGAACTTTTTTTTACAAACGCGGCGGAAATTATGATTTCAAACAGTTGAATTTTTATTGAAAGAAGCTATATTATAAAACGGGATTTTTTTCCTAATTTTTCTCTTTTGTATAAAATAAATTTAATTAATACGTGTTTAAAATAAAGGCAAATAGAAGTCAACGCTGGTGGTATAGCAAAAGTTGCAATTAACAACAATATTACATAAAATGAATTATATTAATGCACAAGATTGGGCGCAATTTACGCAAAACGCAATTTAAAAACGTTTTGGCTCTCGGTTTAGATCCTCTCCAGTGTTTTCTATAATACTTAGCAATAATAATAATTGGCAGTAAATCGTAATATCCAAAAAATTAATACTTTTACAGAAAAGAGGTACAGAGCTAAATTTTGAGCGACGCAGCTTTTATTGCTTCTTGACACTTAAAGTTAAAATAATCCAACTTTTTTTCTTGAAACTCTTTAGTATCAAAGTGACGTATTTCAAAATAAATTTGAGCGCTATTTTGCGCCTATTGAAGAAGGTTCAGCAAAAAGTTACCAAGAACAAAATTTCCTTATTTTTTCATAGAATTCTAATCTGTAATAAAAAATAGGTATTTCCATCGAAAAAATCAACCTGGGCCTTATTGGACCCAAAGAAGACTCTGAGTTCAAAATCTAAGTAGTTTATCTGATAAATTACTTACCTTCAAATACTACAACTTTTATTTGAAACATTTTTTTCGAAAATGCATTGTTTTTAAGATATTTCGGTGTATAAGTTAAAATGGGACACCTTATATATATATATATATATATATATATATATATATATATATATATATATATATAT